AATTTGTGAATCTATTAAAAATAAAAAAAAAAAATAAAAAAAAAAAAAAAGAATTTGTGAATCTATAGTCTTTAAATTTATAGTTTGCTATATGGTATGAGTTTTCTCGTTGTTGAAAGCCGAATGATAAGCTAATGTTGTTTTCATCCAAGTACGTTGGTGTCTGATGGATAGTTGTCTCATTTGCAGTCATATCACATCTCCTTATTTTTACATAAATTTGGTAGATACTATATAAAACTAAGTTTAAGTTTAAATTTTTTTTATTTTATTTTTTCTATTTTATAGTTTTGGATTCCGAAACTTACTTGTTTTTTTCTATGAGAGTTGAAAATTGAGATCAAGGTAGATAACTATAACCAATTCCGAACGAATGAATATTATCAATAAAAAAAAGAAGATTAGAATGAATTTCATAACAGCGTGGACATGGACACATGCTAATTAAATGTTATCGTGTGTATCACTGGCTGTCGACAACAAAGACTTCACGCAATTACAGTATGTCAGGGGCCTCTCAATGGGGATATACATAATTACTATCTCTTCACATGTCTATTCATAAAATTCATAAAATAGAAGTGTTTGCATGAAAGTTTATAGGAATTTGTATTGAATATATTTATATACTCACAACAAAAAGTTTCTTTTGACAGAATGAATATATTCAGAGGTGATATCACCAAGTAATCGAGAAAAAAACGTTATGTTTTTTCTTGCACAGTCAAACGTTCTGTGGCTCCTTAAAAAAAATTAAAAAAACATTTATTCGTACGAGTTGATGTAGAGTAATCTACCATCAACTTTCATACTAACATTTTTTGTTGGTAATAAGAACCCCGGACCTTCATAAAAAATCATTTTAGTCCTCTGGGCTGCATAATTTTTTGCATGGAACAAATTTGAAATCCCATCGAAGACTCCAACGATCAGACTCTCGTGAACATTTAAATATCTTTCTAACAAAAAATAACTCGTGAAAATATCAAGAAGCATATTAATCCGGTCTTGTGAGCAAAATTTACGTTGATTGGAGTCAGAGTAGCTTTTGTGGAAACATTGATATTTATTTTAGATTTCGTTATACCTAAATACGCATAACAAAAGTTAGGGGATCTATATTTTTTTACTACAAATTAAGCAGGTAATTTCAATGAATTTGGTCTTACTCAACTATTTTTTTTTTGTTAATTGAGGACGCATATTTGAGACAATTCTGCATAAACGTTTATTTGAAATTTTATTCATGCTGATTTCAAAAGCCTCTTGCATAGCCAACCCTCCTTTATTTTAACTGAATCAGGAATGGTCGCCCCCTTACAATTTATAATTGTACTCACTTCTTTTTCGGTTTTTGTGTTTCAATATATATCCATGAATTTAATATGTTCACAATACATATGTTTTGGAATAATAAATCATGTGCACAAGACCAAACTGGTCAACTGTAACACGAGATAATTTGCACGTTATTATGACAACATAACAATGTAATAATAACCTATAAACTGGGTGCACTCGTTTAATTATTCTAGTATAAAAGGTATTGAGAACATATTTAATTCATGGATAGATACTGAAACACAAATTAAAAAAAATAATAACAATTCTAAATTAAATCGCTGTGATCCGTCCAATCGTTTTTCAAATCAACAGAGCAGCTGCATTTAACAGGTCGGACACATTTTACTTATACGGACATGTATTATTTAGCATACTTATGCCCCCGTCAATGCATGTATTAGGCTCCGTGTTGAAGACCGTTCTGTGACCTATAATGGTTTACTTTTATAAATTTTGACTTGGATGGAGAGTTGTCTCATTGGCACTCATACCACATCTTCTTATATCTATTAGTGTTTGTTTACAAATAAAGCATTTTTTTTTTGCGATTGACCAATCCACTGAATGATTTGCAATGCATGACTTGCTTAAAACAGACACACTACTTAATTTTTCACTTATTGCCAGAAAAGAATTTTTCTTACTTTTTTCTCTTGATTACTTTGTGATATCACCTCTGAATATACTCATTCTTTCAAAAGAAACTTTTTGCTGTCAGTATATAAATATATTCAAAACAAATTCCTATAAACTTTCATGCAAAAAAAAATTATTTTATGAATGGACATGTGTAAAATAGTAATTATAAAATTGAGAATGGAAATGGGGAATGTGTCAAAGAGACAACAGCCGAAGGCCACCAATGGGTCGTCAATACAGCGAGAAACTCCCGCACCCGAAGGCGTCCTTCAGATATCCCCATTGAGAGGCCCCTGACATACTGTGATTGCGTGAAGTCTTTGTTGTCGACAGCCAGTGACAGACGCGATATCATTGAAATATCAGATGTCCATGTCCACACTGTTATGAAACTCATTCTAGTACCAGTGTATGTAATGTGCGAATCCTAAAATGTCATTTTTACTGTATCCGTGATGAATTTCTGATGTAGAATGATAAATAAACAGACGACAAATTCAAGATTTTTGAATAAAATAAGAAATAATATATAATGTGTACTGTTTTTTTAAAATTCATAATATAGGAATGAGATGCGGACGGGTTTTCGTCGCGCCTACAGCCATCCAGGTGCTAAACTGATACACAAATAGATAAATATTAAGAATAGTGCACAAACAGAGCGTGCAAGAGATTTAAAAGTAGCAGTTAAGTTTCATTTGCAGAAAAATGTACCTTTTAACATGATTATTCATGTTGTTTAACTTAAAACAGGTTTTGTTATTCAGCTTGTTGATATTAAATCAAATTCCACTATGCTGTTTTCGTTATGCAATTCATGTTAACTGTCGAATAATGATACCAGACTTTCATTTTCACTGTAGGGCGATTCATTTCTATTGTATATGCGATGCATTTTCACAGAAAAAAATTAATTAATTTTCATTATATAAAGTCTTAATTCAGCCGACTCTCTAACAAAATTTATGAAGTCAGAAGGATTGATTATATATGCATACTTAGTGAGTGAAAGTCTGAGGTAATATATCAATAAATTCCTTAAACATGGTATTTATTGCTAATATAGTCAATTCTATTTTCTCAAATAATTTGTCCTGATCTATATGAAAGAAAATTTATTCCTTCCTATGACACGTCATCATTAAATACATATATCTTGGACAGTTAAGCCAATCCACGTAACCGGAAAAGCAAAGTTTCTGTTTCGGTCTAAATCTACATCGCATACTAATAAATTAAACGTCATTAGAGCTAATTTCCCAATGCTTGTAGTTAAAAGGTGTGGTTGGCCTTGATTGTGTAAATGTTGCCTAAGCATTGTAATTAAGATTGAGCAAACGTTGATACAAACAAAGCAAGCAAGCCAACCAAACCTTTAAACTACAAGCGTTAGGAAAATAGCTCTAATGGATGCATTTGAGATAACAAAGAGCATTCACAAAACGATCTTCATTTCACGATTGAATGAGTGGAAACGTTTTCATCTTGCACAAACAATTGACGCTTGGATGACTGGATAATTGATATTTATCATGCCATTGTGTATAAATCTTATACAGTATAGAAAGTTCGAGCATCAGTCGAGTCACCTTAAATATGCTTGAATTTCTTATAAGTCGGTGTTACAAATACGCCAATACGCAATTGTGAGAATACAAAGAAATATTGAAAACAGTTTATTGTTACATGTTTAAATGGTTCTATACCACGGGGTATAACCGCCGTACAGTTGATTCCGGACGTTAATCGCTACATCGCGAACCAATGTTGGTAGATATACCGTTCTTATATTTACACCAAAGACTAATTGACTAGCTGTTCAGTTATGTATTCAATGTTTATGAAAACAAAGTTTACTGCTCCTGGCAGCATTGTATATCATTTATATTACATGAACACCATGTGACTATTTTAAATAGACAGGTCTGTGAATTACTTGTAGACATCGCGAAACAAACACTATGTGTAACTCAAACTTGATTAAACTACAAATACAGCATAGTTGGTTGGCTCTTTAACTAAATGCGACCGTGTATTTTGTGCTTTGTTGTTGTTAAAATACATAATACGAATGAGAAACCCGTTGTTTTAATTTTATTTGAAGACATTTACTTGAAAAACTGACCTCAGAATTTTGACACTGTACGATTCATTCTCTTTGTAGTTTGTTTTCTTTCTTTAGTACCGTTCGTTGTACATTCTTGTACTGTTCGTTGTGCAAAAGCCTATCAAAGCTTTTTTAAGAGTTATAAAACTTTTCAAAAAAAATTCGTCGAAGAAAAACGTTATATTCATGGATGTTCTGCTCCAGTAAATTTTCGGATCCATGACAAGCTAATAGTAAACTCACCAACAATATTTGAATATTCATGATATGAACGTGGTTATACCCGTGTATATTCAAGTAAGCATCTACGACTAGCTTGCATTTCAAATTGTAAATATCATCAATATTAAAGTCATTCAAAAACTATTTCAGTTGTTGTATGTCGAATAATCATATAAAACGACAATGAAAATTCATCGCACTTCCAAAAATTCCACATCAGAAATGATTGCACTTACAGTGATAATTCATCGCATCTATAGTTAAAATGAATCGCATTCAGTAATCAATATTATGGATTCTGCTGCTTAAATAACACTTTTCTGGACTTTAATCCTGTTATTATACATTAAAAAGTTATATTCTAATGAAATTCTGTTTAAACATACATTCAAATCTATTATTTTGTATTTTCAAAAAGTAAACATACGCAGTTTTTCCTATCATCCTTTATTCTACAATAGACATACTCGCATACAACAGTGAAAATGAGCTAACTGGATTCGCACTTTATATACATTGAGTACGGAAATGAAAATATTTAAACGAACATCATTCAGATTAAAAACAATTAAGCATTCTGAACATCTGGAGTAAGATAATATTATCAAAACGTTGTAATAAGAAAACAAATTAATTTTTTTATTGACATATGAAACTTTCACTGTTACTAAGCAGTCAATCTACTTACTTTGAGCTGTAACAGTCAACAGCACAGTTGCTTGGATAAGTAACACGGACAGCATATTGAGAGTTGTGACATCCAGCATGTAGAACCGAAACTAACGTTCTGCTAGAATAGAATGTGAAAATGTCTTGTGAAATAACAAGTTTTGATGAAAATGAAACAGTAGGTGAAAATATTTCATTTTTTAAATTAAATATATTCACGGTAGGTATAGTGTCCGGCGGAGATCGTGTTTTTTCGAGTGTAGATCGTGTTTTTTCGAGTGATAAAAAATGCGATCAGGTCAATTAACTGCTTTTTCGCAATTATAATACTTTTATTCATGACTGTTCATCTTGTTTGGAATACTATACATGTTTTGAGCACAAAAGACGCACAATTTCGTCGTATTTAACCTAAATTGAGTGTTGGTTTTTTTCGAGAGCAACAGTTAAAACGTCCGGGTTCTTAAGTAATGGTCCGGGTTTTTTTTAAGGAAATGTGAATAAGAAATAAGGCATTCTTGACCTTAAAAACTAACTTTTCTAGTTAATAACTGTAATTAATTGAAGGAAAATATTATACATTCCCAATAATTCACCAAAAAACATATTACAATGTTGATTCAATTTTAAACTTTTTCAATTTAATGATAAATTTCTGCTATGAAAACATTTTACCATAACCTAGCAGTATTACGATATATAAGAAATCAATGGGTCCGTTTTACATATTTTTTTTAATTTCTTTGCATGCTATACATTTGTTTTTACATTCAATAATATTTTATGATTGATTTATATTACAGTGACGAAAAAACATACGAGCAAGAAAACTAAGGAAAAGGAGTAAACAATCAGAAAAATTGAATATAAACCCAAATATTCTACTAAAAGAGGGTCTCGACCAAATAAAAATTAACAAATTACAATAATATCTGAATTAAATGGAATATCTAATAAAAATGAAAACAACACTTTATAATGTTATGCTATAAAAAATTAAGATTTTTCCCAAAATCATGAAAATTAAAATTTTGGAAAAAATAATAATAAAAAAAATTTATATTAATACAAATAAAATTTTGTTCCAAAAAAAAAAATCCAAGTGAGGAAAAAAAATATTCTCGATATTGTGCAAATGATAAAATTTTCGAATTTTCAACAAAAAAAAAAAAGGGGGGGGGGGGGTAATATTTGACAATGCACAACAGCGTCGGTGTTGAAAAATGTGTGGTGGAAGTTCGTCATAAGATTTTTTTTTTCAATTTTATTCCCGGGAATAAAAATATTAAACGAACGCTAAATAAAAAATAAATTCGTTATCTTGTTGCAATCAGGGTTGTACGGAATTTTACACCGGTGTTGAAAATGATTACGACCTTCGGCTGCTCCTCAGAGTGTATAGAATTTCAACACCGGTGTAAAATTCTGTAAACTCTGATTACACCAAGATAGCTAATATTACAATCAAGACAAATAGTAAATGAAACATTAAGGATATATTTTCTGTGTGTAAGTACGGTTCAGTCCAATATGTCTGAGAAAGATTGTTTACATCACGAAATATTTACTGTATGAAATCCATATCGGTACACTAACATGAAGATTTCTTAATTCAAATGAACAATGACTTTTTATGAAATGTATGTGTTAATACAGCATTATCAAACTGGTTTAATGCATTGTTTCGTGCCTTGAAAAATACTTTTATTTGAACTTTTTCATTGTTTTTTAAACTTAAATGCACTGACATATTACATTTTAAGCCATAGGAATTTAGTTTTTTCACTCAATAAAAAACAAGGACAGTCACACTCGAAAAAAAACGGACATATAAAAATGAATTTACTCTCAAAAATGTCATTTTCAATGCAAAAACAAGCATTTCTTGTAAAGTGGCTGTATATCGAAGTATATGTAGATTCCATGTGCACATTTCCGTTGACATTTGCATCAATTTGGTATGTGTATGAAAATGGCTTTAATCTATATTTTGGAATAAAGCATTGTAAGGCTAAATTAAAAGTTTTGAAAGCAAAATAATGTAGGGTTGATAACATCTTTTTATCAAAAATACTAATTTATCTTCTATGAACTGGTATATAAGGTTCTAGTATCTTTTTTCACGTTTTACCAGAAAGGAAGTCTGTTTGTTTACATTTTTGATCATACATGTATCCACTCGAAAAAAAGTGGTCACACTCGAAAAAACCCGATCAAATCACTCAAAAAACCACGATCCCAGCCGGACACTATACGTACCGTGATATTGATTTATTTAATGTTTTGTTATTGTTGTTTGTCTTTTCGTTCATTTTATATTTTGTTCATCTGTTTTATTGGAATAATTTATTTAATTTATGCTCCATTATCATCTTCTCTTTCATGTTTATACATTTTCCAGTTAGGAAATGAAAACAACCACTATACATATTCCGTGCATCCGAAGCGTTTACTGGTTTTTCCTTCATCATGAACGCACAAACCCAGATTTGTGAAAGCCAATGATGTGATTGATTTGTTGACTAATTGCTGGCACAAAAGAGTAAACGATAAGAACTTCACGGCACAAAAGAACAAGGGGCGATAAGGGCCGTTTTAGGCCCCACCCCCCAAATTTCATTTAATTTGTCATGTTGTAACTCTATACCTACAGATCTTCTGAAATGGTGGCATTTTGGGTCTATCTCGTATATTTTGCTGCCTATGGCAATCAGTATATTATGGTGGAGATAAAGTAATTAAATATATGCTAAATATCTATTTATATTTAAGATCAAACCTGTTTAACATGAAGTAAATTATACATTTATACACTGTTTAAATGTACACAATGTAATGCAACTTTTTTTTTTGGCAAATTCATTGTAGTTCTTCCCTAGCAACAAAACTTTGCCCATAACAATGGCAATATGTTTTTTTATTTTACAAAATTCAACTTTTAATATGTTGCAACAAAAAGATAATTCAAGATGCACATTGTAAAAGTACCCAACTCTAAGGAAAATGTCATGGATCAAAACCAATGCTGAAATATCATCAACCGAAAAAACTTTCGACAAACAACTGTTACAAGAGAATATGGTAACGAAATGCACTTCTAGAGTCCCTCTGTGGAGTAAAAACATGTACCACTGCCCTTTTGGAGAAGTTGCTGGTTATTTGATTTTTTCATGGATTAAAACATGTATACTTTTAAAATTCTTTTAATGATATCGGGTATTGATGATATATACAGATTTTGTGCTTGGTGTTTAATGCCTACGCCGTGATTGCATTACGGTTTACCCTTCTCCGTCCGTACGTCCCGACATTGGTTTCCGTTCTCTATTTTTACTTTGCCACAACCAAATGTTCTGAAACTTATACAAAATCATTATTACCACCACACAGATCAAGTTAGAATTCGGTCGGCTTCACTTTCACCGTTCTTGAGTTATGTCCCTTTATAAATGAAAAAATGGCGAAATTGCCGTTTTCGCACTCTAACTTTACTTTGTCTCAATCAAATGTTTTGAAACTTATACACTTTACTTATGTCATAAAGTTTCTAAGAGAACAAAACGTCAATAGGTTCGCTTTGAAACTTTATGACATTTGGTTTTTTTATGTTGTCATTAGACTGAGATTGCCACGGGGTTTGAGTGCTCTCATTATTCAATAACAAACAGTATAATGGGGTTGCTCGAAAACGGTGAAAATCACGCCACCTTAATTCGAACTTGATCTGTGTTTGATGGTAATAACGTATTCGACGGATACAAAGATTAGAGAAAAAAACAGTACCCAACACTAAAAACTTAATTGTTTCTCCATCCCAATGTCCATAAAGAATCGGGAAGATAGTGGTTTGCATAAACATGTTGATAAACAAATGGTTCAGAGGGAGAAAGTTCCCATATGAAAAATACAAGAAGAATGTGTCCATGGGATGGTTGTAAATATGAAAGGGTATCCGTCGAATACGTTGCCCATTCATGTCAAATGATGATACATGCATTGTTTATGGCTCAAAAGGCCGTTATTAAACTTCTGGATGATGAAAGCATTCAGGATATTATTTAAGCTAAGTTTGACCTACTATCTTGCAACTTGGCTAATATTTAAGAACACATCTTTTTATATTTATGTTTAGATTGACATATAAAAAACCATTCTCTTTATGAGGGTCTGGATTGGGGGGATCATGTCTGTGTTCTATAATTATTTAGCCCATTTTTCTCTTTTCTTTATACATTTTGCCTATTATTCTCTATTCTTTATATTTAAGTACCCCATTATTCTCTATTTTTTATTTTTTTAGCCCATTTTTCTCTATTCTTTAAATGTCTTGCCCTTTATTCAGCACATTTTGCCCATTATTCTCTATTCTGTAAACCCCATCCACACCCTCCTATATCTCCTTAAACATATGTTGTAGGGGTGTATAAATTACCCTGCCACGTCCGGGTTGTGTTTTGTTACTTGTTTTTCTGCTTTGTATCGATCTGATGAGTGAAGCCCTTTTCAACTCCTTTATAGTTTGTTCATAAGTTGTACTGTTACACCACTGTCCAAGGTAAGGGGGAGGGTTGAGCCACGCAAATATGTTTAACCCCGCCATATTCTGTATGTGCCTGTTCCAAGTCAGGAGCCTGTAATTCAGTGGTTGTCGTTTTGTTGCTATATATCATATTTGCATTTTGTTCATTGTTTTTTACATAAATCAGGCAGTTAGTTTTCTAGTTTGAATTGTTTTACATTTGTCATTTTGGGGCCTTTTATAGCTAACTAAGCGGTTGGGTTTTGCTCATTGGCAATTATATCACATCTTCTTATTTATATATATGTATATCTTGCAATATTACACATTTGGTTTAAAACCCGTGTTTATGTTTTAGTCTCATCTTTAATTACTATAGCAATTTCAGATCTCACACCATTAACCAAAAATGCTGGAAATCATGATACCAAGAGGCAAATCAAAAGGCGTAGTGAAAAGGTATTATGCCCCCTCCCTGTTTTGACCGCCAAAAAAAAACAAATCTCATTTTCTCATTATTTCTATAAATGTTTTCGTTATATTGTGTTTTTTGGAATACCCCCTTCCCTTTTTCAAAAATCCTGGATAGGGTCCTATGTTAAACTAAGTCCCCGCTGGCGGCCATCTTGGATTATGGATCGGCTTCAAAGTAACAACACTTAGTCAGCACCTCATAAGGAACATTCATGCCATGTTTGGTTTCATTCCATTCAGTGGTTCTCTAAAAGAAGACATTTGTAAATATTTCCCATAGGGTCCTATGTTAAACTAAGTCCCCCGCTGGCGGCCATCTTGGATTATGGATCGGCTTCAAAGTAACAACACTTGGTCAGCACCTCATAAGAAACATTCATGCCATGTTTGGTTTCATTCCATTCAGTGGTTCTTTAAAAGAAGACATTTGTATGTATTTCCCATAGGGTCCTATGTTAAACTAAGTCCCCCGCTGGCGGCCATCTTGGATGATGGATCGGCTTCAAAGTAACAACACTTGGTCAGCACCTCATATGGAACATTCATGCCATGTTTGGTTTCATTCCATTCAGTGGTTCTCTAAAAGAAGTTCAAAATGTAAAAAGTTAACGACGACGACGGACGACGGACGCCTAGTGATGAGAAAATCTCACTTGGCCCTTTATGCCAGGTGAGCTAAAAATAGTCGATTCCGATATTATTATGGGGTTCTGCAGATACATTTTAGAAACACTAGAAGTAACCTTGGAGGATTCTTTAAATGAAGAGTCATTGTTTATATTTTCTTAATTTCCATTTAAATGTATATGCCAATATATAAAATATTATCATAGCTCATCAACCATAGTTAGTGTTTATTAAAATTCTTTGATAGATTTTATTATAGAAATTGAGTTTTCCCACCCGTCTTTAATATTTGTAAAAATGGTTATATATGCGAAGGTAGACAAGACTAACAGCATTATAATTAGTCATAACATTTGATTTTCGAATAATTTCCCAACTAACCCAAAATGAAAAATCGTTAAGGAGGATGAAAAAACCTACCTACAGTTTGCATATTTCCTTTCGGGTAAAGAGCAATATTTATTGATTTTTTTTCTGAAAGACAGTGAAGCGACACACAAAAACAGGTCTCCTCAGTTAGCACTGATGATGTGGTAAAATTACATAAACCAATGTCAAACAGAAGAAAAAAATAAATGATGAGTAAGAACGTGCTTTAGATATCCACTGCCCATTTGAAGCCCTAAATATTTATCTTCTAAGTCGTATTAATAAGACCTTTGTTGTCGCTAACCAATAACAGATTTGTGGTGTTTTGCAATTTATCCTTATGTCTATTAAAGAAGTTATCACAAGAATAAAAAACGCTATAACAGTATCTGCCTTAAGCACAAGGAAATATCACGTTTATTTTCGAGACAATCATATATTGATGTGATAAAGAGATAACCTGATTTGCACTTAAACCACAGTTATCACTTTAGTTACTTTTTGTTGTTTTGTTTCATTCATTTTAATGAGTAATTATCTTCCCTTATTTTTCTTTCATGTCTCAATGTATTTTTTTTGTTATTTTTTGCTTCCTGGATATTAGATTACTACAGATTGTTAAAATACGTTATGATTACTTGTGAAGGGAATACATAGCGGGCGCTGTTTTGAGAAGGCATGTTTTTTAACGTGGCAACCAATTTTTTTTTCAAATAAAATTGAAAAAAAAACTTACTAGTTTTTCATTAACAAAGAATCAAGATGTTATTAAACAATGCTTTTTATCACTTGTTTTAATATAAGCAAACTACTTTATTACTTCCCTTCAGACACAAATAATTTTATTCAAGAAATTTAGAATCAAACAATCTATTTAACAAAAGAAAAAAAAATCAATCTCTCTCATACACACACAATGAATGTTCGTTGACTTATTCAATGAGGGAATGTAGGGTAATTTTAAAATTCAGGGAACAACACCAGTAGAGCGCGGATTGTTGTAAAATACGATATTTTAGGGAACAGCCTAATTTTATTTTACAGAATATGATTAGAAAAGAATTGAGGTTAAATGTATTCATCTTTATTCAGCAACATTCCTGGCGAAGCACCTGCATATGTATCGCACAATCAATACCTTGATTCCTATAAAACGTGTTTACTCTTCTAGGATTTCTTTGAAAGGGGGTTACTATATACAAGGATATTAATATAACAAGGGTAATTTATGATGAGGTTAAACTTATCTTCTTCGGTTCACTATGACTTGTATAATTTTGCTGCAATGGGTCTTTTAACTGCAAACATATTTAGCAGACAACATGTTCTTGGTTTCAAGAGAAAAATACGTTCTAGAAACTTTTAATTGAGTGTGTTATTGCATTAAAGATGTTATCATCTACACGATACGCATCAGCTTAAATTTGTAGACCTAGCTCTATACAATTATGTTTTCAGACTGTCGATCACACATGTGTATTTCTTTCCTAGGTTAATTAAACTTATCTTGACAAATTTGCCAATGGCACATTTTTGTTTGGAAATATTATTTCGAAGCCATTGTACACAATTATTAATCATTTATGCAATTTCACACAAAGAATCAAGAAGTTGATCGTTATGTATATTAAATTGGGCTGTCAGTCTCTGGTGAAGTTGAAATCTCCCCTTCGAAAATTTAACGAACGCCATCAGGAGTTGGTTGACCGTTATGGAATATCTTTATCACAGATGACGACGGATATGTTCCTTTTGTAAGCACAATCCCGTCTTCTTTTCCTCGTGTGTGACCTACCGAATAAGCAGTTCTGACATGAACAACACGACGGGTGCCACATGTGGGGCAAGATCTGCTTACATTTTCGGAGCATCTGAGAGCACCATCGATTTTTTGGCAGGGTTCGTGTTGTTCAGTCTTTAGTTTTCGATGTTGTGTTTTATGTACTGGTGTCTGTCTTTTCGTCGTTTTTCGTTTTTTGCCTAGGGATTGTCAATTTGTTTTCGACTTATGAGTTTGAATATCCCTTTGGTATCTTTCGCCTCTCTTTTTCAAAATGATTTTCGGCATTATCAATTAAGATATGTAATAGTTTTCGTTTCAATTTTTTATATCATCTGATGAGCGATATATTCCTAAAATCTCTATAGAATAAAAATGTGAACGTCTAATGAAAGTAGACTTCGCAACTGTTACTCTCAACGAACCACTCTACGGGCCGAGCTTGAAGAAGATTACTTTACAAAATGCAGACCCTTTTTAATGAAAGTGAAAATTGTTCGAAAAACTAAACACGACAAACGTTTGATAATTTCGATGTAAATGCTACTTAAGATAATGATTTGATATAATATATTTTTTTTAACCGACAAAATAGTATTTTCAAGAGAAACAGATAGAGGACATTTTGTTCTTTCAAAATCAACTACTGACTAACACGCCTTCATTGATTTTCTTTTATGTCTCAATGTTTATTGTATTGTGATGGTGACATTTACAAACCTGTATAATTTTGTCACATGTATACTTGATATTGAAAGATATTGTTCAAACTGTCATTCTGTAAATTTTGCTGTTGACAAAACTTTTCTTCGATAAACTCATCACTGGACGTTAAGCAACCAACAATCAATCAAGCGATCAAATTCATACTTCTTAGACCAATAAACTCTTCTATATATAAATGAATCCAGACAGACTGAGTCCTCGATAATCCAAATGACGCTCTTTATAATGTGCTTATATCTGTATTAGAACTACGCGAAAATTTACGTTACTACTAAGTTAACTTAATTACATATTTCGGAAATATGAACAAATATTAAGATATAGTTATAATACTTTCTAAAAGACGTACCTTGCACCAGGAATAGCGTCCCAGTAATTAACAATATCAACTAGGAAGTATATTTGACAGTTTTCAGGGTGACTGGAAATATCAAATTAAATGACTTTACCCAGTCAAGCATATAATTTGTATACCGACAATGCATTATGTCTAGATAGGTGTGTTTAGGCCACACCAATTTAATTAATAGTTCTTTTGATTTTCCCGCTCCTGTTTTGGAGAAATTGACTTTTCAATAACAAAAAATAATTACCGCTTCCGCAAATTTTTGGGCCGCATGTCGCTCCTTGAATTTTTTTTTTACACAGACGTTTTTCATGTGCATATGTTAGCGGCAACAAGTAAAATTAGGCATTAAGCTTGAATCCTAGCCAATAAGCTAACGCCTAGGCATTAAGTTATTGCCTGAAATTTTCAGGCATTAAGTTTATTTCCTGAATTATAATGATGACTATTCAGCCTATTGCCAAACATCATTTCAGGCAATAAGTGAATTTTAGGATTTTTTTTAATCTTCCAAGTAGATATACAATCGATAAAATGTTCTTGATTGAAAGTATTTTTTAAATTGTATTCCAAATATTGATATACACTTGGTCATTTTATCCGAAGAGTTCAACAGTAGAGGACAGGTTGATATAATGGATTTCCAATCAAACCAAAATGGAAGTTATAAATGTCTTATAGCATACCAAAATCAACTTAAAAAAGTTTTTAACATTAGATTTTGTACGTCAAAATGAGCTTAAATAGAGGTGACTTTTGTTTTAATTAAGGGTTTCATATTTTTAATGTTTTTATTTTTTAGCGCGTCCCATAAACTGCATTATCACAATGGTCGTGAATTTACAGCTTTGGTTATACCCGAGTTTAAAAATAAAAGTGGTCAGAACTGGTGACTTTTTAAACTTCAGTTCTTATCATGTTATTATGTACCAACTGTGTTTTAACTTTGAACAAATGTTTTTTTTATTTACTCGCATTTACATTTTAGGCATTAAGATTAATGCCCGGACAAATTTTTCAGGATTTAAGATTAATGTCTAACACTATTTAGGCAATATACGTATTGCCTAGGCGTTAGCTTATTGACTAGGATTACAACTTAATGCCTAATTTCACTTATTGCCGCTAACACATATATTGCTTCGATCAATTCAAACGCACGTGTGATAAATCGATGTGTAAATAATAGGTCAAAAATCGGGATGCCAACATGTAGTTGTGTCAGCTTATTGCCATGGACATGTAGTTATTGAACACTCAGTTATCCGAAATGCATCTCGTTTTACCTATAAGGCTGTTCTAAGAGACAAAAATCAAAAATCTTTCGTTAGATGACCATGATCACATCAACATTTGTAAGAACCATCGTCATCCCCGATCACAGGCACTAGACGTTCTATCAGTAGTAAAAGCTCTTTTATATACATGGACACTATTTTCTTCCCATTGCCCATATTTCATTACTATTGATAGAACGTCTAGTGTCTGTGCACCGATCATTGTTTCAACAGACATAGACCCATCTATCTTGGATGAAATTAATATTAAATTCCCATGAATTTTAAAAAAAAATCACAGATTTACCTTATTTTGATGAAACCCCATATCCCCTTGTTGGTCTATTGGCATGCAAACAGAACTCTTTTGTAAGGGAAAATTTAAGAGTTCCAACGTTCGACACCAAAGTGGTGGTATTGTGATTAGCATGCTCATAATAATTAGGAATGTGTAATTAGTTCAACCACTTCTAGTCAAGCTAAAGAGAATAAAATGCATTGCAGCTTTTAGGAGCAAAAGGAAAGAGTATTTTGATCAGTCAGAATAATGCATGTGAATGTACTGACAGGTATTTTAAAGGAATATTTTAATACATTGAGGTCTACATGCATAGCAATAAAACTATCTTACTCATGATGTTGTTGAAATATTCACCTCACTCATTATGTTGATCCTTAGTATGGATAAATAGTTCCAACTGGATGTCAAGCAGCCAATAAACAATCATTACCATATAATAAAAACAACTATTTTATTAAAAACAAGCGCATTTTTGCGCCTGTCCCAAGTCAGGAGCCTCTGGCCTTTGTTAGTCTTGTATGATTTTTTATTTTAATTCATTTATATGTTTTAAAGTTTAGTATGAGGTACATTTTTACTGAACTAGTACACATTTTTGTTAAGGGGCAAGCTGAAGCCCGCCTCCGGGTGCGGGATTTTCTCGCTGTGTTGAAAACCCATTGGTGGCCTTCGGCTGTTTTCTGCTCTTTGGTCGGGTTGTTGTCTCTGACACATTCCCCATTTCCATTCTCAATTTTATATAAAAAAATATTTAATATTTTCCAGGGGCATTTTTTGGGATACATACACATATTTTGATTTTATTCAACATATCCTAACTAATATAATTCCCCTTGTTAAACTGCATCTGCTATGCTTCCTTAATATATACACTTGTATGAATCTAAATGAAAATTCATGCAGACAAAGCTTATTTGACGAAACTAATCAAAATTAACTAAACCACAGCGAGAAAAGAAAGTCGGGTATTGTCCAGGCACCAATACATCAAAATATATGCATTAGAGCATGTTTCTCGTCCTTTTTCTATGAAACAACCCAGTTTTAACATGAACATGGATTCTAAATCGCACAATTTAAAAAAAATATATACCGCTCGCTTCACTTGTAGAGCAATCGCCTCAAAAAAACTCATTTTCAAGAAAAAAATACAATCAAAAAAATTTCGCTCGCTCGCCCCATATTTTTTGGAGCTTTTGTCCGAAGAATTACAAATCAAATTGGTGTGGCCTTAAGGTTAAATGAAATTACCACAAAATTCAGAAAATTAAAGTGAATGTTTGCAAAGCTCTCAAAAATATATATTTGCATCTTGGAAACATAACAAAGTTTTAAATAATTGTGGAGAAGTACTGAAAGAAGATAGATTCATGTTGAAGCAAAACTTTTAAGCTTGAGCATAAGCCCTCCCCCTTTTCCACCTAAAAAGGGGAACAGAAATACTGTTTTTTAACCTGCATACGTGTAGTTGTAACTGGATATTTGAAGGCGGGTAGCTTTTTAACTTCGAAATTCTGCTGCTTATTTTTGTTTGTAAAATGAACTGAAAATATGTTAAAATAAATGCATTTGAAGCTTTTTAAATGTTCGGTCATTGTATTACACTGTTACATGTACACGCTCAGTGACTAAGTAAATAATTATACAAATTGCTTAAGCTTTAAGAAAAATTACTTGTTTTATGAACAGTGGCGCAGCTGTACCCTTATTTCTGTTGAGGCAAATGATTTGACGCTCAAGAGTCAATGCTTCAGCGATGTTCAAATATCGCATTGAGGCTTGAATGTTAAGTTCTAAACGCAGTTCATAGGCCGCGATTCGGATTTGGAATGGCTAGTTCAAAGGGGAAATCGTCTTCTCTAAAGAGTTTTAAGCATTTATCGGTGGACAAAAGTCGTATTTTATGCAGGTTTGATTTATGGTTGCTTACTTAATCACGAGTGACAAAATGTCATGCTTATTTAGGACGAGACCAATTTAACAATAATCCAATAGAGATATTATGTACCTGCCGAAGCCCCGCGTCTTGGGTCAGAAACCGATATCAAGACAAACGTTACAGTCTATATATAAAATACTTAACCACAATATTATGATCAATCAGAACAGAAACGACACAAGGCTGGGGCGAGGGATATGTTATGAGTAATAACTGGTTCATATAACAATAATGATATAATTTCAGAAAGAATTCTTAATCAAATGAGTATATTTGATCCGTTTCAGTGCTGGTTTTAATGTCCAATTTAGAAAATCTGACATAACATTTAAACATCTGATTTCGATCTTTTGAGTATTATATCATTCTATCCTTAAAATCCTGGGAAAAAGTGAAAAATTATTCCCGGTCAAAATATTTCTTTTTTGTAGCCTTTTAAATATTACAATTGAAAAAGGATTCATGAAACTTAGCTCACATATGATAGATAATTCGATAAAAATGATATTCTTAAAGGCATTTATTCTAAACATTTGTGTATGATTTTTCTATCACTTTGAAAATTGTCTGACATGCATTATTTTCCTTCGTATTTCCGTGCATTATACAATATTCCTTTTATCACATTACATCAATGAAAGACAACGTGTATATGCAATAAATGTAAACTATCATGTTAAATAATCATACTTTAAAAGGTTAAAACAAATAAGAAAAGCAATTTTGATTTCTTTATATTTTATTAACCAAGTTTATAAAACAAATACATCTGATATGTGTAGATTATATGAATATAAACTGCGTACATATATCTTTGCTATATGATAGTTGATCCATTAGAATGGTTATTCTCCATAGTAATGTCTTCTACTTTTTTTACAATAATTTAGATAATTGGCATTCATATAAAATTCTTTTTTGGTCCTATAAAATGTACTGTTAAAAAGTTTTAGAATTTGGTACTACTTAGGAGCGGATAACTCCCATACGTATAGTGAAAGGTGAGTCTCAAAATGAAGTTACATGTATCAATGTCCTGGTTTAAATCCATCCTCAGTCTTTCCACAATTCCGTGGCAGTTGTTAATCAATTTGTATAGTTTCCACTATAACCTTTCAGGTGTCTTTGAGTTTCTGTCTTCTCAGTTTTCTAAACTGAAGTAGAAAATACATCACTTTAATAATTGTACCAATAAATTTTGTTTCATACTACTAGTATACCATTTAATGTATAAGACATAAAGCGTTATTGTGTGTGTGTGTGGGTGTGTGTGCAAATACTTATTGCTATATTATTTCCTGCCGCCCAACCTATCCTTATATTCATGCCTATCCTAGTTTTTGTGGAATAATAAAATTGTTTGGCCTACATGTACAAAAAAAAAATGTATCTACCTACCTTCCCTTTGTTGAAGCTAACAGTTTGTCTTAACTTATCAAGGACGAAAAAGATCAAGAAAACAGCTTCCCATTGCAAATGACATAACATGTTAAAAAATGCCCAACATGTATCTAAAAAAATATAAAATAACTCA